AAGACATCAAAGATAAAGTAGTGTCGGGCACTAAAGATGCTAAAGACAAAGCAGTAAGTAAAGCAAGTGATATTACACATGCAGCAGTTACTGACGTGAAGGAAGCAAAAGGAAAAACAATTGAAGCAGTACAAGATGTTACGGAAAAAACAACTGCAGGCATGAAGGATGTCAAAGATAAATCTACACTAGCAGCAACAGAAGTAAAAGATAAAATAATTTCTGGTACTAAAACGACTGCTGATAAAGTTGAAAAAGCAGCAGAAAAGGTTGCAGATGATGCTAAAGATGCTAAGGATGGTCTAGGAAAAGAATTGAAAAAAGATGCAGAAGTCTTAAAGGGTGCTATTATTACTGGTGCTGATACTGTTGTAGACGGTGCTCAGTCAACAACAGATAAGGCTGCAAAAGAAACGAAGAAATCGAAAGACAAGGCAACTGGTTTCTTCTCGGGTATTCTAAAGGGAGCTAAGCACGCGGTAGAAGATATCTCGGGAGATATTAAAGAATTTGTAGAAGAAACAAAGGCCGAAGCTGCAGAAGAAGAAGCACGTGCGAAAGATGCAGCTGCCAAAGCTGCAAAATCTGTAGATGATGCTAAGGACAAAGCCAAGACTGAAGTTAAAGATCTAAAAGATAAAACAGTAGAAAAAGTGCAAGATGCRAAGGAAAAAACAGTGGCCGGTGTTAAAGATGCAAAAGATAAAACTGTAACTACAACGCAAGATATCAAAGAGAAAATTGTGACCAGTGTTACAGATTCTACAGGAAAAGCAGCAAGTAAAGCGAGTGACGTTACCGAAAAAGTGGTAACTGGTGCAAAGGATGCAAAAGATATATCAAAGGAAAAAGTAAAGGATATGACGGAGAAAACAGTAGAAGTCATAAAAGATGGAAAAGAAAAAACAGCAGCAGTAGCTACGGATGCAGGCGAGAAAATAATCTCTGGTAGTAAAGCAGCTGCTATTAAGGTAGAAACTGCAGCACACGGAGTTGCTGATGGTGCAAAACATGCGAAAGATGCAGTAGCAAAAGAATTGAAAGAAGACGCCGAAGTTGTGAAAGGTGCAATAAGTACTGGCACTGATACTCTTGTGGACACAGCCAAATCAGCTAAAGATAAAACTGCGAAAGAAGCTAAAAAAGCTAAAGACAAGACGTCTGGATTTTTCTCGGGTATTTTTAAGGGAGCTAAGCATACAATTGACGACGCTTCCGATGATGTTCAAGAATTCTTGACTAAAACGAAAGCAGAAGCAGAAGAAGAAAAAGCACGTGCTAAAGAAACAATATCACAAGCCGAAAAATCTGTCGATGATGTAAAAGACAAGGCAGTTGCAGGAATTAAAGATATAAAAGATAAAACAGTCGAAGGAGTGCAAGATGCGAAAGAAAAAACAGTAGCTGGTATTAAAGATGCAAAAGATAAAACTGTAACTACAACGCAAGATATCAAAGAGAAAATTGTGACCAGTGTTACAGATGCTACAGGAAAAGCAGCAAGTAAAGCGAGTGACGTTACCGAAAAAGTAGTAACTGAGGCAAAGGATGCAAAAGATAAATCAAAGGAAAAAGTTAAGGATATGACGGAGAAAACAGTAGAAGTCATTAAAGATGGAAAAGAAAAAACGGCTGCTGCAGCCACGGATGCAGGCGAAAAAATAATCTCTGGTGGAAAAGCAGCTGCTGCCAAAGTAGAAACTACAACGCACGCAGTTGCTGATGGTGCTAAACATGCGAAAGGTGCAGTAGCAAAAGAATTGAAAGAAGATGCTGAAGCTGTGAAAGGTACACTTTCCACTGGTGTTGATACTGTTGTGGACGCAACAAAATCAGCTAAAGATAAAACTGCGAAAGAAGCTAAAAAAGTTAAAGACAAGACGTCTGGATTTTTCTCGGGTATTTTTAAGGGAACCAAGCACACAGTTGACGACGCTTCCGATGATGTTCAAGAGTTCTTAAATAAAACAAAAGCTGAAGCGGAAAAAGAAAAAGCACGTGCTAAAGAAACTGCTTCAAGTGCGGCTAAATTTATAGAAGATGCGAAAGAAAAGACTGTATCTGGGTTACAAGATGGTAAAGAGAAAACAATAGTTGCTGTTAAAGAATCGAAAGATAAAACTGTTGCTACCGCAAAAGACGTCAAAGAGAAGATTGTATCTGGTACTAAAGATGTCGGTAACAAAGCTGTAACTGGAGTGCAAGATATCACCGGTAAAGTGGTATCTGATGTAAAAAGTACAAAGGACATAACAATTGAAGGAGTCCATGGTCTTACGGAAAAAGTAGCGACTGAATTGAAGGATGTTAAGGATAAAGCCTCTGTAGTAGTTGCAGACGCAGGAGATAAAATTAAGTCTAGAGAAAAGAAAGCAGCTGATAAAGTAGAAACTGCAGTTCATGAAGTGGCGGATGGAACGAAGCGTGCGAAGGATGCTGTAGCGAAAGAACTGAAAGAAGATACCGAAGCTGTAAAAGACTCATTTACCTCCGCTGCTGGTGCTGTAGCGAGTGATGCACAATCAGCAAAAGATAAAGCTGCAAAAGAAACCAAAAAAGCGAAAGATAAAACATCTGGATTCTTTTCAGGCATAATTAAAGGAGCTAAACATGCTGTTGAAGAAGTTTCTGAAGACGTTAAAGAATTTTTGGCAGAGACAAAAGTTGAAGCTGCTGAAGAAGAGGAGCGTGCGAAAGAAGATGCATTGCGTACTGCAAAATCTGTAGAAGATACCAAAAATAAGATCGCTGAAAGTGCTAAAGAACTAAAGGACAAAACAGTAACAGAAATACAAGATGCAAAGGACAAGACAGTATCTGCTGTTAAAGATACAAAGGATAAAACAATTGTTACAACGCAAGATGTCAAAGGAAAATTAGTTTCTAGCGCTAAAGATGCTAAAGACGGAACAGTTAGTGGATTACAGGATGTTAAAGAAAAAGTTGTAGTTGGTGTAAAAGACGTAAAAGATAAAGTAGATTCTACAGTTGTTAAAACGGAAGGTAAAATTTTATCCGATGGTAAGGAAGCTGGTGATAAAGTAAAAGTAACAGCACATGAATTTACAGAAGGTGCAAAAGATGTGAAAGATGCTTTTACAAAAGAAGGTAAAAAAGATGCTGAAGTATTAAAAAGTGCTGCTATTGCTGGAGCTGATACTGTTGTGGATGGTAGTCAGTCAGCAAAAGATAAAGCTGCAAAAGGAGCAAAGAAAGCTAAAGAGAAAACATCAGGATTTTTCTCTGGCATATTCAAGGGAGCAAAACAAGCAGTAGAAGATGTCTCTGATGATTTTAAAGAATTTTTAGATGAAACTAAAGCCGAAGCTGCCGAAGAAGAAGCGCGTGCAAAAGAAGCAGCTGCTAAAGCTGCAAAATCTGTAGATGATGCTAAAGATAAAGCCAAGACTGAAGTTAAAGATCT